AGGGTCAAATCTCAGACCTTTCCCGGTTCTTCACATCTATTTCTAGGGAAGAAGCTTGAGAGTAGAACGACAGAAGCTTTCACCATCCTTGAAAACTAAGTGGTAAAAGTAATGGTGGCTCGTTCCTCAGTGAGTAATAGGACACCCTTGTCTAGGTACCTGAGAGTCTAGAAGGAATGTATTTGTGGACCCATTTTCTCTGTCCTGTGGGTCTATCTGCTTCTAGGCAGCAGGGTCTGTATTTTAGTTACACCTTAACTAAGCCCACAAAATTAATCCATATAATAAAATTTAAAAAAAGAAAGAAAACAACATGACAAGAGACTATGTAAACTAGAAAAGAAAGTCATGATCAGTTGACCACAGATTTTGTGTATATTTAATCTTATAAACCAAATATCCAGGACTTAGTTCCATTTCTTTCTTTCTTTTTTTAAAGATTGGCCCTCAGCTCACATCTATTGCCAATCTTTTTTTTTCATCTTCTTCTCCCCGAAGCCCCCCAGTACATAGTTGTATGTTCTAATTGTAGGTCCTTCTAACTCTGCTATGTGGGACGCCGCCTCAGCAGGGCTTGATGAGCGGTGCTAGGTCCACACCCAGGATCCAAACCACTGAAACCCCGGGCCGCCAAAGCGGAGCGCATGAACTTAACTACTGGGCCACAGGGCCAGCCTCCATTTATTTCCTATAAATCATGTTAAGTATGCATTTATTGAAGGACCAAAAGAAAAGCTGTCATCTCTTAGTACTTCCACCAAACTCTGGCCTTCCTCTCATAAGCACCCTGAATCTTTAAGAGCATTTTGCAAAGGTAGCACGTCTGACAATCTTTTACAAAAGAACTGTCTTTTACAGAAACACCACCTTGAAGCTGCTTCAGAGGTGAGTTTTGTCAATATTCAAAGAACTCTTTAAATGGTTTCTGAGCATAGACAAAGATGGAGTCGTTCCAATTAATTTTGTAAAGATAGCCTTGATCCTCAAGTCTGACCACAAGAATATAAAACCATTGCTGAATCTCACTTATAAAAAGAATTTTTCTTTAACTAAAATAAAATATTAGTTTTACTGTTTCATTGCCTATTGTCAACTCAGGAGCATATAACATAAAAGAGTTTTATGTTTCTCCAATTTTACTCTGATCATTTTGGTTATGAAAAGCCTGTCTAATTTGGTATTTTGATCCCACATACCACTTGAGGCTTTCCCTTCCCCCATACAAGCCAATCTAGAACGTTGGAGGAGCTGAAATGGAAGAGAGGTGTGGCCAGAAATTTGATTCCCCCAGCTGTGCGTGGGAGGTGGGCGTGGTCTTCCTCCAGCACTCTTCCTCCTCTTCCCTCTTCTAGTCTCTTTTTCCTCTGGCATGGGAGTAGTGATGTGCTAATGCCAGCGTGTGATGGGTATTAGCTCAACTTATTGTGGTAATAACTTTACAATATATACATATATCAAATCTTTGGTTGTACATCTAAAACTAACACGATGTTATATGTCAATTGTATCTCAATTTAAAAGAAAAAAAAAAAGCTTTTCCTGGATGTTCCCTATGTAGTAACCCCATTTAGGCATTTGGAGGGAGGGTAGGGTGGGAGAGGGTGTTTGCCCCAAGGGAGAGGGAGCCTCAGAATTTCTATATTAGACATAGTGCTTGCCCTCAAGAAGTTGCAATTCTTAAAATTGCAAAAAGTTTAAAAAAAAAAAGAAGCCTAGTTCCTTAGCGGGGCACATGTGAGAAGAGCCTCCTTCAGCTATGCCTCTCCAAGTTCTCCCTCCACTCCTATGCTCTCCAGGGTATTCCACAGCTTCTTCTGCTGAGGATCTCGAGCCTGGCAGTTAGCAATCCGGGTGGGGTAGCAGCAAAATGGCCCAAGCCTAGTTATCACCTCAGTGTCCTTTTGGCCCCCCAAGAAACCCAAGCATCCTTGCCATGCCAAACAGTGGGATGCAGTGTGCTTTACCCTTACCCCCTCACGCCACCCTCTCCAAATTTCTTTTCAGCTAGCTAGACACAGGGCAGATCAGCAAATGTGCTGACAGCTGTGAAACTGAGGAATGAGATGGCAGACTCCACCTTTTGCAGGCACCAGTATTTATGAGCGATTACTCAGCCTGGTGGAGAAAGCACCGCTGAGCCCTCCCACACTGAGAAGAGAGAGAAAAGCCACAGCAGACCCTCTGGGGTCAATGACTTGTAGTTCTGATGTTTTTCTTTTCCCCCCGCTACAGTTTTCCGCTATTTGGCGTCATGGCGGAACATCTAGCCCCAAATATTGGTGGATCTCTGTAGGGTACAGGGTATGCTCCTTTTCACTCAGCTGTAGAGTAAAAAGTCACCTGGTCACCAAGTCTAAGTTAATGGATAAGCACCACTCAGTAACTCACTATATTAACAAAACGGAATCCAACACTATGTTAGATAAATGTTACTCCACTGTGACCAAGTGGAGTAAATTTCAAGAGTAATAGAAAGTACCACTCATTGACCTCTTACTATGTCCCAGACATTTTGATAAGCAATTCCTAAACTTTATTTTACAGAATTCTTGTAAGAACCCCATGAGATAGGCATTACCCTCATTTGGCGTAGGAGGAACTGAGATTCAGAGAAACTCAATATTCTGCAGAAGTTCGCATAGTGAGAGTCTAGAATCAAAGTCGGGTCTATCTCCAAACCTGTGCTCTTCGGTCCATCAGAAGGAAACCCGTATCTGAACAGCTCTGTATGTTTTGCAAATGTATTTGAAAAAATACCTTAGTAAGATAAGGATGAAAAAGTACCTCCTAACAAGACTACGTAGCCAACACGATCCTTAGGGTGGGACCCCTGACACATTCCCGTTTAAATTAGAAACAGAAGGATGCCATTCTCACTAGAATACTATACTGTTCTAGAAGTGCTTGTCAATGATGTTAAACAAGAACATAAGATAAAAATTTGCATGTTTTGAAAGGAACAGATAAATTATTTTGTGAAGATTAAATGATTGTTTGCTGAAAAACCCAAAGGGAATAAACTGAAAACTCATTAGAAATTATAGGATTATAAGAAAGCTCAATAAAAATTTACCAAAACAATTCATACATTCAACAAATATTTATTACACGTGTACTATGTGCCAGTCACTGTTCTAGATGCTAGGGATACAACAGTGAGCCAAATAAAGACTCTGCCCTCAGTTTATATTCTAGGATAAGGTGGGGAGACAGATAATAAGCTAAATAAATGAGTGTATAAGATCCACTAGTGATGAATGTTACGAAGGAAAATATAGTAAATTGGAGGGATTAAGATGACAGGGGTTACTGTTTTAGAACGGGAGGTGAGGGCAGAAAAGACCTTTCTGAAGAGGTGGAAATTTGACTCAAGGGAGTAAGCCTGTCAGAACCTGAGGGAAGAATATCACAGGGAGAGGGGAGAGCAGGTGCCCAGGTCCTGAAGTGGGAGCATAAATTCCTTTCCTTAAACCGAGCAGCCAGCAGGTTCACTCTGCCTCGACGTGGAGGTGAGGCGTGAAGGGGGTGCACGGAGAGAGGCCTGGAGGGGCGCTCCAAGGAAGTTCTGCTACTTAGAAACATGAGAAGTGGGGGGAGAGCTTCCGTTTTGCCGTGAGAATTTTGAATTTTCTTTGAGTCTGATAAGGAAACAATTGGAGGGAAATGACGATCACATTATATTTTACAGGTGTCACTACGGTTGCATTGAGAATAGAGTGTTGGTGACAAGAATGATAGCAGAGAGAACGGCCAGGAGAAGGCTAGAGATGTGTAAAGGTAGTTCAGATGAGAGGTGAAGGGGTCCTGGACTAGGGTGAGAGTGATGAGGAAAGAAGTGGTTGGATTTGGGATATATTTCTAAAATCCAGTGAGATTTGCGGACAGATTGGGAATGGACAAGGAGAAAAAGAGAAATCAAAGATGAGGGTAGGGGCTAGCCTGCTGGCATAGAGGTAAGGTTTGCATGCTCTGCTTTGGTGGCCTGGGTTCTCATGTTCGGATCCCAGGTGCAGTCCTACACACCACTCATCAAGCCGTGCTTGGCAATGCCCCACATACAAAATAGAGGAATATTGGCACAGATGTTAGCTCAGTGACAATTTTCCTCAAGCAAAAAGAGGAAGATTGGCAATAGATGTTAGCTCAGGGCCAACCTTCATCTCAACAAAAAAAAAAAAAAAAAAGGAAGGAAGAAAAAGACCGCAGAGTTTTTGGTCTAAGCCTCAAATGGCGATGGGGAAACGTGGGTAAGGAACAGATTGGGAAGAAGGTGGAAGCAAGAATTTGACTTTGGATATAAATTTGAGGTGCTTATAATACACCTAACTGCAGAAGTCATGTAGCAGTTGGAGCTCAGGCAAGGGTTTGGGGTCTAGACTGTAAATCTGGGGACATCAGCCTATAGCTAATATTTAAAGATGTGGGACTGGAAGATATCAGCTAAGGGTGAGTGTCTGAGGACTGAGGACTGAGTCATGCGTTACTCCAGCATTTCGAGGTCAGAAATATCATTAATTATATAATACCATTAACTTGCTTACATACCACCAAAAGTCAGTTAGAGCATTTCATGGAGAAAAATTCCTGTTTACAATGAATAAATGCTGTACTCCTGTATGGTGTACTATTCTGGTATCTGGGCCAACCTAGCTGCATATCCCACCACTTTGACTCGGGCCTGGCAGTGTCCCCACTACTCAATGAATTTCCAGCATATTTTTTTAAAGGGTTAACCAGCTTGTGAATGACAGTTTCCTGGAGAGCCCTCAATCCTGTGACAGCAGCAGTTTCCTGTCTCTCTCTCCTTCAAGTGATTGTCACTAATATTTGCAGCTCCTGCTTTATCAGCCCTAATCTTTGCACTTTGTACTGTAATAGTATTAAGATGACATCTAAATTTATCTAACTGGGACTTCACCGCATTTCTCCAAATTTATTTCTTAAATTAGTTTTGTAGATTTTCTGATTATTTTAATTTGGGTTAATTTTATTTCTTCCAGGTACGCCTCCAAAAATGAGCCTAAACCTAGAAAAGTTGATTTTGAAAAGTTAAATGTGAGCCCTCACTTTTTACCAACAAATATAAAAAAAAATCAAGAAAGCAAGTCAACAGGTAATGCTCTGTGTAACATATTTACTTCTTCTTTGGTTTATTAATAAGGGCTTTTATTATATACTTTATTATTCATTAATGTGTGTCAAAAGTTTTTGATAGCTTGATGTCTCTGTTGAAAGCATTTGCGTGAGAGTATATGGGTTATAACCGCAGTGTGAAAGATTTCAATGTGCTGTAAAGAAGAATTCCCTAAGAGGAAGAGATGTTAAGTGTCAGAATGGACAATTTATACAATTCACAAATTAAAAATGTATCTTTATGTTTATTTTTTTAGAAAGAAAATATCTGAGTTTCCTTTCAGCTCAACCCTAAGAGTTTCCTTGTTATTGTTTAAAAAAAAAAATCAAGTATGGACATCTTGCTTAATAGAAACTTACTTTACAGGATTAGCAAGTTTAGGAATCTGTGAGCTAGGAACCAGCGTTATACATCCTCAGAGAATGTGAGTGTTTTGTGTTGCCTTTGTTTTTCTTTCTCTGGCATTACCAAAAAACCGTTCAATTGCATCGTTTTCATCAACGTCCTTGACTGAGGCCCCTTGGCTCCACGTTGCCCTGTAATGCTCCATCTCTCTGTTATTCTTCATAATCCAACTTCTCAAAAGATTCGTTTACATACACTGTGTCTACTTTCTCAGCTTTTGTTCAAACTCCAGCCTACCACAATCTGGTTTCTGTCTCTCTATCATTCTACTGAAGTTACACTGATCAAGGGTGCCAGTGATCACGATGCTGCTAAATCCAAAAGCATTGTGATTTTTTTCCACCTTTCAAAACTAGTTGATCACTCCCTCCTTCTTAAAACTCTCCTCTTTGGGACCCATAGTTTCTGTTTTCCTGCTATCTCATGCCTTCTCAGTCTCACTTCTTAATTTCTCTTCTTCATCCTTAAAATGCTGTATTTGCTCAGAGCTCAATCCTGAGCCTGCCTCTGTTTCTACACTCTCTCCTTGGATAATCTTATCCAATCTGTGGTTTAAAATTTTATAGAGATGCCACTAACTCCTTCATTTATGTCTCAATCCAGACCATCCTCTGAACATCAGATGCCTATACTAAGTGACCTATTTGATAGCTCCACTTACACTTCTTACAGACATCTTAAACTTAACATCCAGAAATGGACTTATGATTCCCTCTCCCAACCATGTGTCTCAAACTTTCTTTCCACTCCCCCACCCGATCATCCCTGCCGTGGTACACTGGACCACTTTGCCAAGTGGCTCAAGCCTGAACCTAGAAGCCATCTGCGATCTCCTCTTTCTCTCGTTCCCAAAGTCCAATCTATCAGCAACTCCTTTCCATTCTAACTCATCTTGAATTAATCTATTTTCATCATTTCTGCTGCCACCGTTTTAATCCAAATAGTCATCATCTGTTGTCTACACAGCCACAGGAGCTTACCAACAGGTATTTCTCGTTTCATTCTTGCCCTCTTTCTAATCAATCTCCTTCTTATTAAACCATTTTAAATTATGAAATAGCATGCATAATAAAAAATGAGTATAGCATAAAAATGTACTGTATAATAACCAATTATAAAAAATAAAGACCTATATAACCAGAACGCAGGTCAAGAAGTAAAACACTGCCAACAACCACTCAACCTTTTCCAAATCATTTCTCCCTCCCTTGTTCCTAGAGGTTGCTACTATCCTGATTTCTGTGGTAATCACTTCCTTGCTTTTCTTTAAATTTTTACCATCTGTTGTATGCATCCCTAAAGAATGTAATTTAGTTTGCCTGTTTTTTACTTTATGTAAGTGTAATCGTGCTATATGTATTCACTTCTATTTTGCTTCTCTTTCTTATCCTTGCTTGTAACATTCACTCACAATGTTGTGTGGAGGTGGAGTTCTTTCATTTTCATTGCTTAGAGTATTCCATTGCATGAATATATCACAATTTATCCATTCTATTGTTGAAATTTGGGGTTTTCAGTTTTTCAACCATTACAGTGCTGAAATGAACATTCTTGCTTATGCATCCTGCTGCATATGTATAAGTTTCTTGAGAGTATATATCTAGGATTTATATTACTGGGTATGCTTACCTTTAACTAGTATAGATAATGGCAAACTTTCCAAAATGTTTGTACCAATTTACACTCACATCAGATTTGTGAGAGTTCTCTTTGTTCTGCTTTCTTGCTAACATTTGGAATTGCCAATTTTTATTTTAGCAATCTACTGAATATGTAATAGCGTGTTGTTATGGTTTGCTTTTGCATTTCTGTGATTACTACTGAGTTTTAGAAGTTTTTCTAAAGACTGTGGACCAGTTGAATTTACATTTTGGGAAATCATCCAAGTTTTAGCTCATTTTAAAATTAGGTTTTTGTCTATTTCTCCTTGATCTCTTTATATATTCTGCTGATTAGTTCTTTGTTGGTTTTATGTGTTATGAGTATCTTCTCCTTTTCTGTGGATTTTCTTTTCACTCTCTTTATGGTGTCTTTTTGATGAACAGAAATTCTTTCGCTTAATAGTAAGTCAAACCAAATCTTTCCCCATTTAGTTAGTACTTTTTGTACCATATCTAAGAAATCTTTCCCTACTCTGTGGTCATGAAGAGCTTCTCCTATTTATCTTGCAAAATATTTTAGTTCTTCTTTTTACATTTAGATATAAAGTCTACCTGGTATTAAATTTTGAGTGAAGTAATGGTCCAAGTTAATTTTTTTTCATGTGGGTATCCAGTTATCCCAGCGTGAGGTTAGTGCTCTGGGCTCTTCTGGAGTTCTTATTCTGTTCTATTTTATTGTCTATTTTCTACATCAACACTACACAACATTAATTTTTGTAGCTTAAAATAACCCTTCATATCTGGTAAAATAAGTCATCCAATCTTGTTCTTCAAGAGTAGCATGGCGGGGGCTGGCCCCGTGGCTGAGTAGGTAAGTTCATGCGCTCTGCTTTGGCCGCCCCGGGTTTTGCCAGTTGGGATCCTGAGAGCAGACATGGCACGACTCATCAGACCATGCTGAGGTGGTGTCCCATATAGCACAGCCAGAGGCACTCACAACTAGAATGTACAACTATGTACTGGGGGGCTTTGGGGGAAAGAAGAAGAAGAAGAAAAAAAAAAGATTGGAACAGATGTTAGCTCAGGTGCCAATCTTTTGTTAAAAAAAAAAAAGGGTATCATGGCTATTTTCTATTTTCCATTACAATTTCTTCTTTGACCCATTGGTTATTTAGAAGAATGTGTCTTAATTCAAAATATAGGAGGCTTTCCTAATTATCTTTTGGTTATTTCTCTTTAACTCAATTATATTGTGGTTTGAGGATACACTCCATATGATTTCAGTCCTGTGTAATTAGTCAACACTTGCATTATCCCTCAGTGTGTGGTCAATTGTTGTAAATGCTCTGTATGTGCTTGAAAATAATGTTTATTCTGCAGTTGTTGAGCATGGTGTTCTATATACTTCTTTTAGGTCAAATTTGTTCATTGTTTTTTTCAAATCTTCTCTGTCCTTACCAATTTTTCTGCTTGCTTGTGCTCTCAATTACTGAAAAATTTTAGACATTTATTTTCCTTTGTAGTGTTGTCAAATATTGCTTTACAGGTTTTTAATATAGTTTAGGCCATGTTATTAATTACATAAAAATTTAGAAATATTCCGTATTTCTAGCAAATTGAACCCTTTTTTCATTATGAAGTGATTGTTTTATTATCCAATATTTCTGTAGATACCTCCACTTTCTTTTGGCTAACATTTGCATGGTGTATCTTTTTCCATCATTTTATTACCACCTTTCTGTAATGTTATGATCTGGATTTATATCTTATATTTATTGTGTTGTTAGATGTTTAAATCTACTCTGATAATCTTTGTCTCTGAAATGGAGCATTTAGTCCATTTACACTTAATGTAATTACTAGTATCTTTGGATTTAAATCCACCTTTTTATTTTGTTCTTTCTATTTGTCCTCTTACTTCTATGCCTCTTTTTCTGTCTTCCCATGTCTTCTTTTGGACTGAGTTTTTAAAATTTCACTTTTCCCCTTTACTAATTTGGAAGTTATGTACTTTGTTTCTATGCTTTAAAGGATTATCCTAGAAATTACAATATGCGTTCTTTCAAAATTTAATATTAACCTCCTTCTGGACAATAAAATGATCTTAGAACACCTTAATTATTTTACTGCCATATTAAGTTTTATGTTATTACTAAAGTCCAAAGTCTTGTCTAAATATCATCTAAATCAGATATGAGTGAGACTCAAGGTACGATTCATTCTGAGGCAAAATTCCTCTCCAGCTGTGAACCTGTGAAACCAAAATAATTATGTGTTTCCAAAATACAAAAATGAGACAGGCAGAGGACAGACATTCCCATTCCAAAAGGGAGAAATAGGAAAGAAGGAAGGGGCAATGGGTTGCGAGCAAGTCTAAAACCTAGTAAGGCAAACTTGATGAGATCTTAAGGCTTGAGAACGATCCTCTTTGCCTTGACCTCTGCCTTCCAGACCCACCTGGGCAGAGGTGCTGCCCCCACAGTTCTGCCAGGTGGAGGCCACCACTCCCCCTCAGGACTCTGCTAGGCAGGGATCCCATGCCCAGGGCTCTGCCTTGTAGGGTTGCTGCCCCCAAGGCTCCAGGCTGCCCCACCCACAGGGCTTTGGGCAGAGTTAGTCTGGCCTGTTGAAACCGAGGTAATGGCCTCCGCTTTCAAAATTGAGGAGGCAGCCCTGATGATGTCTGAATCACCTTCACAGTCATTCTTCCCTTGTTTTGAAAAATAGCACGTTTGCGGCAAATAGCTCTATGCTCCCATCCTGTAAAATCCAAGAGGTCTGACAGCCGTCCTTCATTTTATCCCACCTCCAACCTCTTCTGTTCAAACTGGCAGTGTGGACTCCAGTCTCTGCTGGGGTGGCTGGGTGGATCCCTGGCTCACACCCATGCCATCTCCTTCTCACATGGCCAATCCACAGCACCCTTAGTGTTCTCTCTGAACATGCCCGCTCATGTTTTATAATATAGACAGGCTGAGCATTTTTCAGATCCTAAATTCTGGCTCCTTTTTGCTTAACAGTTCTGGCTTCAATCTGTTTCTCTCTTCTCACGTTTTACCATGAGCAGTCAGGAGGAGCCACGCTGCCCCTTCAACACAGCTTAGAAATCTCACCTAAATATCCACTTCCATCTCTGGAGAGTTCTACTTCCACAAAACACTAGAAAACAAACACAATTCAGCCAAGTTCTTCGCCCTGTTGCTCTCCTGTGGGCACTCCACCCCTATGACCTTACCTAAACCTATTTACCCCCCAAAGGCCCCACCTCCAAATCCCATCACATGGAGGATTAGGATATGAATTTGGATGGGGGTGGGCAGGGCAGGGAGGCTGTGTAACAACTATTCTGTCTAAGTTATACCTCCTTCTATTACTCTCCCGAAACAAAATTTATCTATTTCTGTCACAGCACGTATCTCAATTTATAGCTATTCACTCCTTTGTTTCTTTGCTTGTTTTCTGTATTACCCACTAAAATATGTACATTATTGGGTAGGAATCACAATTCCAGAGTCCAAACCCAGTGCCTGGCATATAGTAGGTGACCAACAAATAAGTGTTGATTGAATGAACACCAGAAACCTTATTAAGTTTCTTACATCTATTATCTCATTTAATCCTCACAGCATCCATATAAGATAAGTAATATTATTTTCACTTAACATATGAGAAAACAGTCTCAAAGAGGTTAAATAACTTTCCTAAGCCTACATAACTCACACAAAAAAAGCAGGTTTTGGTCTCAAGCTGTCTAAATTTAAAGTCTGTGTGCTTGACCGTACACTATACCTACCTTAAGAAAATCCAGTAAATGATAATCCAGATTAATAAAACTCATAATTGGAGATGGGGGGGATTCAGGTTAAGGGAATTCTTCTCTTTTTAAAAGAATTAATGAAAAGATTGCTTTGACTATCAACTATGATTTTATTTTATTTAGAAATTCATTTTTTCCCAAGAAGATATAGCTTTATTGTATAATACTAAATAATCAAAAGTTATATTTTATCAATAGAAATTCACTTAAAAACTTTTTTTGTTAAGGTAGAAATTCACTTTTAAAGCAAATTATTCTAGATTTACATTTATTCTATATTTAGCTCTAAAAATGTAAAAGCAAATGTGTATATAAGCAAATAAGATTATCGAACCACATTTCTAAAAAGTATGCTATGACTTAAGAAAATGGTTTGTTGAGTTAAATTAGAGGTAGTCTAATAGTACGGAAGTATCATTTGTGTTTCAATTTGTTTCTTTAGGGCCAGTAGAAGAAAATTCAAAATCAAGGTCTATCAGACCTTTTCCTTATCTTAAGGATACAATTGAGGTAAATTTAATTTGTGTGCTTATAATTGCTTAATAGAAATTCAAATCAGCCCTAATAATTTTATATATGCTCCTATAAATCCCAAATTCAAACGGGATTCAAAAACATAAAATTTTAAAGTGATTTTATCTCTAATATTATATGAGACTTTATGTATGGGGATAATAGAGAAAATAATACATTATTTGTTGGACAGTCTTTATAGTAGAAATTGTTTATTGCGTATGATGAGGGCCAGCAATTATCATAAAGTCAGTTAAGAGAGGGCATCATAAAAAACATTTAAGTTATGCATAACTTAAATATTTTATTTTAATTAAAAATATGAAAATATACATCCATTTGTTAATCTTTTGATGTGTAGCCAAGACCATTTTTTGAGCATGCTATAGTTATTTAAATTATATGATTACAGTAACAGCTACCATAAACAGGTTTGGGACTAAGAGTATTGACTTTTTTTTTTAAAGATTGGCACCTGAGCTAACAATTGTTGCCAATCTTCTTCTTTTTTCTGCTTTTTTCACCCCAAAGCCCCCCAGTACATAGTTGTATATTTTTAGTTGTGGGTCCTTCTAGTTGTGGCATGTGGGATGCTGCCTTAATGTGGCCTGATGAGCTGTGCCATGTCTGTGCCCAGGATCCAAACTGGCGAAACCCTGGGCTGCCAAAGCGGAGCGCATGTTCTTAACCACTCAGCCACGTGGTCAGCCCCAGAGTATTGACTTTTGATAACCACTTGAGCATAGGTTCATGGGCATACTGAAAAGTAGCTGACCAGCCCTGAGTATTGAGCACACCTCGGATATCATTCAGTTGATTTTATGTAGGAGACTAGAAAGAGAAATTAATCCAGAGAATCAGCAAAGGAAAGTCAATTTAAGAGAATCTCTTAGTTATTAATTATACTATTATTAATCCCAATTATTGCTAATATAGAAAATAAAACATGGAAAAAAACATACGTCGGGCCATAGTTAATAACACGTTGTGATTTTTGTTGCATATTCCTGCCTTTTATAATTTTGAAAAATATTGACAAGATCCACTATCCAGATTATTGGTTTATCCTCATCTGCATGGTTTATTTAGGTTCACGTTTAATACATCTCCCAAGAAATATATATTATAATGTCACAATAAGTTTGCTCATCATAATAAATTTACTAGCATCTTATATAAAACATATAACATTTAAATTTTTAAAAACAAATTAAAATATGCATATGACTTTAAAAACTAAATAACACAGGGGCTGGCCCCGTGGCCGAGTGGTTAAGTTCGCGCGCTCCGCTGCAGGCGGCCCAGTGTTTCGTTGGTTCGAGTCCTGGGCGCGGACATGGCACTGCTCATCAAACCACGCTGAGGCAGCGTCCCACATGCCGCAACTAGAAGAACCCACAACGAAGAATATACAACTATGTACCGGGGGCTATGTACCGGGGGGCTTTGGGGAGAAAAAGGAAAAAATAAAATCTTTAAAAAAAAAAAAAAAAAACTAAATAACACAGAAAGGCTGATAAGGACACAGAGCCCTTCCGTCCTGTAGTTCCTGTTCTGAGTTCCTTTTTCAGAGGCAACCATGTTTAACCTTTTTGAGTTTCAATTCCTCTTGTGATTAACTCCATAATTCTAAAAAATGAGCTTCTACTGCTGTTTTTTAAAAATGTATCAACTTGAAACATTATCCACTGAATTATTAATAAAAAAGATTTGAATTAGCTTGTTTACACTGCTCTGCATCTCACCTCTCCCCTTCTTTCTTCTTCTGAATCTTTGAAAGTTACTCTTTTGCTTGTGTTGTTAACTGTTGTATCTTGAAATAATATATCTGCATGTTTTTTTCTTTTCCATCAACTTTAATCACTACCTCCTGACTCCTCTTTATATAAGATGAAGATCTTAGCAGTCTCATCCTTTCCTCCAGCTCTCCTTCACACCTTCGTCCCTGGTCAAATATATTTTTACTTTTACATCTTTTAGGTCAATGATTACATTCAGCCTTGAAACTCTGATTAAGCCCTTATGTCTTGTCTATGGGTTAATTCTAAAATTCAAAATGCTACGAACAGCATTTGTGTTACTGTGACATTGTAAATGATCATTCATTGTAGGACAAAGTGATGTGCTGGCATTACATTTCTTCTCAATGGGTATAATATGAAAACAATAGACTCTCCTTTCTTATTTTCCATCAGTTACTCAAAAGTGATTCCCTATTTTAGTTTCCCTCTATTTAGACCTTGACTGTCTTGTAAACTTTTGTGTTTTTCTCTGGAGCTTCTAGTTGCCTTTCTCTTTTCTTGTGGAGAATAAGAACAAACATCTATATAGCACTTATGTGTGCCAAGCGCTGTTCAAATATATATATATACATAAATACATATAAATTACATCCTCAACAACCCAGTGAAGTAAGTACTATTATTGTTCCTATTTGATAGATCAGAAAAAAGAGGCAAAAAGAAGATAAGCATCTTGGCTGAGATCAAATTATAAGTGACAGAACCAGGAAGAACCCAGCGGTCTGATTCATACTCTTTATCTCTAAGATACACAGCCTCCCAAAAAGAAGCATGTAACTTTCTTACTATATGTGAATTTGGTCAAGCTTCCTTACTCTTTCTCTCTGCTGAGTGTAATCCATTCCAATCCTCTTCCAGGAATTATTCATGGAGCCCAGTGACTTCTTGTTCTAAATTTGACCCATTGCTTTTAAGGGTGCTCTGCTGTTGTCACTGTGTCATTCCACTTTTGGTTTAGTAGCCAGATTCTAGTATCCTGTGTCTTCTTATTCATCTTGGATTTCATCTTTATTTTCCTGGAATGTATCTTCAAGAAACTTCCCTAGAAATGGTACATGGATGTCTGGGAATGTATTTATTTTTTCCATATACTTGATTGATAATTTGGATTAGAATTATAGGTTTAAAATCGTATTTTCTCTAAACTTTGGAGCGAGTGCTCCTCTGTCCTATGCCATTGAATGTTGCTAATGAGAAGTTCTCAGTCTTTTGTAAGTGACCGTATTTTATTTTATCTGGAAACTTTTAGGATCTTCTCTTTATCAATGTTGTTTTAAGCTATCTTGAGGATATGCCTCAGTGTGGTAATTACTTCAATTTATTCTGTTCAGTGCTCAATGGACCCTTCCCTAAGTCAGATGTCTTTCTTTGGGTCTTAAGATGTCTATTACTTTTTTTTCTAGTTTCCTTTCCACTATTTTCTCCATTCTCTAATAGTCAGATATTAGACTTGGGTTGATTCTCTATCTTGCTTTTCTCTGTTTTTTTGTCTCTTTGAAATTTTGCTCTTTATTATGGGAAATTTCCTTAACTTTTTCTCCTGGTCTCTTTACTGCATTTTATTTCAGAAATCATATTTTAAATTTCCAGTGTTTCTTTCTTGTTCTTGGGGGTTTTTTTGTTTCCATAGAATCCTGTTACATTTGTTCGCAGATTTTTCTGAGGATATTAGAGTTTATTTTTTTAAGCTATTTTCTGTTTCTTGAATAATCTATTTCTTCTGGTGTCAGTGTTCCTTTCGTTGATCATGATATGTATCTTTGAAATTGCTGATTTTTTATCGTATCTGGTAAATCTTCATTTGTTCGTATTTAAGAATGAAGATGTAGGTTAATGTTTCTATGAAACTGCCGTTGATTTTACAAATAAGCCCCTCTCCAGAATTGAAAGCTAACTGGTCTGTGTATATAGCAGAGTTCTCAACCAGCTAGATTTATTTTAGAGTAGGAAGGTAGAGAGTAGGCAGTTTGCCCGGTAGCCCTGCCTTTGGATCCTAACATGAAGAGAGTTTTACTCTGGGGAGCCAAACCCACATTGGCAGGAAGTTTATCAAGAGAAGGACACTTATGTTAGCCTAGGATTAATTAAATACCACTGCCTGTAACTCTGTGTGTGGGATAGTGTAGCTGGGAGATGAGGGAAGTGGCAAATGGTTCACAAATTCCGCAGACACAATTTCAGTTAACCTATCTCTTTACAACTTTCGTTCTCATTCCCACAATCTATACCTGACAACTCTAAGCCTGAAGTCTCTTCAGAAAGATAGAAAGATAGCATAATATTTTTTTAGTGACTCCGCTACTGTACTTAAAGCTTCAATTAACTTTCTGTCTTTCAGAAATTTGTCTGAAATCTCTTATGGGCTGGGCTGACTTCTAAGTCTCTCTCTCTCTCTTTTTCTCTCTCTCTCTCTCTCACAAACACACACACACATGTGCACCCGCACTCACATGTGGTGCACGTGCACCACACACACACACCCCCCTCCCTGTTCTCGTTCTATTTTAGGTTGATTATTTTTTTTATTCCTTTGCCGTAATTGTAAAGGGATCTCAGTAAGGCATGGCTGTAAATGGCCTGGTCCACCCTCTTGACTCAGAAGGACCACTCCTCTTCAAAATGAACATCTGCCACTTCCCTTCACCTGCGTTCACACTGGCTCCTGAAGGGCCATGCTCCTTCAGTAATTTCTGGTTTGACTTTCACTACAATGCGTCTTACACAAATACATCATCTGTTTCCGTAGCTTCGCCATAAATCTTCAAGGTAAGAGATGGTGAGGGACCGACCCGAAGTAGTAGGAAAGGGAGTGTAGTGGAAGACACTGATTGGAGAGAAATTAAGTAGTTAGACTTCACAGAATTTTTAACTGGCTGGATGTGGTGCTTAAAATAATAATTCCCAAGTTACTTGTTTGGAAAACTGGATAAACAATGGTGCCATTAACTGACATTCCATTAATTTTGATATGTTATATTTCCACCAGCATTCATTTTGAAAATTTATTAGTTTCTCCTAGGCTCTCTTCTTTGAGATATGGATTCTTCAGAAGTGTGTTGTAGAATGTCCTAATATTTGGAGTTTTTCTAGATATCTTACTGTTAATGTTTTCTAATTTAATTCTTTTGTGGCTAGAGAACATATTCTATAGGATTTCAGTCTTTCTGAACTTATTGAGACTGGTTTCAAGATTCAGCTTATGTTTATCTTATTCAAAGTACTATGTACACTTGAATAGAATGTGTTTTCAGCAGTTATACGGTGTAGTATTCTATAAGTATACTTATAAATATAGAAGTACATCTATATGTTATAGATGTATAAATATGTAACTATACCTATGAATTAAGTCACAGTGATTGTTATTTTTGTTCAGATCATCTGTGTCTTTACTGATTTTTTTGTCTTAGGTAAAATTGTACTTCTTCCCATAAAGATTTAGAAGCTTTTTAATTTTATAAATCCATTTACTACCTACATCCTTCATAGTATAGTTTCATAAGTATTACTATAAAACCTACAGGATGATATTATAATTTCGGCTTTCAGCAATCCTATACGTTTTAGAGAGAGTAATAGAATAAAAAATAACCAAATATTTATCAGAGCTGATGCTCTTCAGTACTTCCTGAAGATGCGTTTCCATCTGGTATCATTTCTCTTCAGCCTGAAGAACTTCCTTAAGCATTTTTGCAGTAAAGTTCTGCTGGCAGCAAAGTCTCTGTTTTCTTTTACCTGAAAGTGTCTTAGGGATCTTGAAGCAAAGTTTTGCTCGATACAAAATTCTGGCTGATAGTTTTTGGGTTTTTTCTTTCAACATATTAATAGCGATCTTCCAGTGTCTATTGGCTTTCATAGTTCTGACTTCCAGAGTTTCTGATGAGAAGTCAGGGGTATTTTGAATTGTTCCCCAGTACGTAACTTGTTTTTCTCTGCTGGGAAAACCTACGTTGTCTGCTGAAAACCTATATGCCCATGATCCTAAGCATGGTTTTCCTCATATTTATCCTGCTTTGGGTTCACTAAACTTCTGGAATTTATAAATCTATGTCTTTCATCAAATTAAGGAAACTTCTGACCAGTATTTCTTTTGATATTTTTCTACTTCATTTTACCTCTCCTGTCTTTCTGAGATTCTTATTGTACACATATCAGACCTTTCATTATTGTCCCACAGGTCCCTGAATCCCTTTTATTTAAAAAATATTTTCCTCTTTTTTTAATATTAGATAATTTCTATTGATCTATCTTAAATTATCCTACCTCTTTCCCCTGATTATCTCCATTCTGTTTTAAGCTCAACCAGTGAATTTTTTATTTCAAGTGTTATATTTTTTAGTTCTAGAATTTCCATTTTTAAAGATAGTTTCTACTTCTCTGATAAGATTTCCCCTTTTTTCACTGATTGTGAGCATATTTTACATTTCTCATTGAGCATAGTTATAATAGCTGCCTTAAAATCTGTTAATTCTAACATCTGGGTCATTTATTTCAAGGTTGGTCTCAGTCGATTGTCTTTTCTTTTGAAATTAGGTTTCATTTTCCTGATTCTTTGTACCTCAAGTTGGATTTGTCCTGAACATTATGACTGTTACAATATGGAGACTCTGGAGTCTGTTATATTTCTACAAAGAAAGAGTAGTGATGCTTCTGTTTTAGCAGTCAATTAACTTGATTGGGCTCAAAATATAAATTCTGTCTCCTGAGCAGAAGCTCAGATTTCAGTTCAGTTCTTTTGTCCCAAGCTGGGATGCTTGCACTTTTCCCTAAACATGCGTGATTCAGGCATCGCTGAGAGACTTAGACAGAGTTTATACTGGGAAGGTGGTAGAGCTACCATCTTTGACTCTCTTCTTTCTGTCATTCCCTTCTCACTTTCCAACAGCTTTGGTTGCCCTGAACTTTGTCCTCTGGTTCTTCTGGCCAGAAAGAAAGTAAGTATTCTATTAGAGTTTTAGATGCCCCGTGCAGTGCCAACTTCAGCCTGCCTTCAAGCTAAAAGCCATAAAAATGGCAACTTTGTCCCATGTAAGTCAGTTATTCCAACTTTTAATGCTTTTTCTTTGTCACTTGCTTTTGTTTACTCTCCAGGACCCTCAGGTAATTTGTGTGAGTGTGTGTGCGTGTGTATTTTTTCTGGAGTATTTTGTCTAGAGTTTTTATAGTTGTTTTCCGAGACAGAGTGGATCCGACAGGGGCTTAGTCATCCTGAATCAGAATTCTCCAGAGTTTTTACTACTTCCATTATCTTTTCCTATTGCATTGCTCAATACTTAAACATTTATAAAAAATAGTGGTGATAGGTGTCACTCTTGTCATGCCATAGACTAGTGTATTATCGTTAACTATGGCTGTCGGTTTTATATAATTTTTAAAATCATGCTAAGATATTCTTTATCGTATTAAGAAAGTATTCTTTCTTTGTAACTTTATTACAGTTTTTATCAGTGATGGTTGTTGAATTTATCAACTCTACTTTAAATATTGTAGTTATTAAAATAATTACATTGTTTTTCTCCTTTGACCTATTGGGTGATGAATTGTTATAACTTATCTATTGGGAAACTTTAATTTCTTGATGACTTATTTGGCCATTATTAACTGTTCTATTAGTATACTGTTGAATAGTATTTTATTTTGAATTTGCAAAAGCTCCTGAAGCGATGTGTGAAATTAGCTTATATGCTTCTTCTGGTGCATTATCTTTTCAGAGTTTGGTATCAAGACTACGCCAGCTTATAAAAAGAACTGAAAAGTTGTTGTTTACTTTTTAATTTAATTGATGTTATATTGCATGAGAATTATTTGTTGCATACAAGTTTGAAAGATTTTATCTATAAATCTATTTGGGTCTGGTTACTGTTTTTAAAGGTAGTTATCTGAGACTCATTTACATTTCTTTTAAGAATTATTGGTATGTTCAAATTTTCTACTACTTCTCAAGTCAATTTGGGTGATTTTTCTTTATGTTAAAGTTTCTCTGTTTGACTTTCAAGACATCTGTAGTCTGTCCCTCTCACAACTCTTCTTCTTACCTCTTCAAACTTGTCTCTTATACTCAATAAATGATAAATGCCTCTTGCTCTAAATATGCTGTTTTCTGGACCGTCTTATGAATACTCCAGGTTTATGTCATTGGTCAGATGTCATTATGTCATATGCCTCTCCAGAAATGCCCTCATCTCCAAATCCTAGCATTAAGTTCTTCCTCGTTGATAAAATTTTCCCTGTCTATTCCAGCCCTCATTGATATCCCTCTCGTCTGAACTCCTCCTCATTTATTGATCAGCTTGGTTCTTAGTGATATTACCCTATTACGTTATTTACTAATGTTCCATGTATGCTAATCATACCTATCGAATAAGAAAGTGAGCTCTTTGTGGCCTAGATTTTTGTCATATGCTTTATTCCTATCTCATATTATCCAGAACTAAATATATAGTGTGTCTGGTGTGAAAAAAAATTGTGAGTGCTAAACAAATGTTTGTTTGGTTTGTTGATGGAGAATCATAAGTTATGCAGTTTGTACTTATATGTGCATGAGGATTTTTGGATATTTAGATATTTGTATTTCAGTAAAAATATATGGATCCAATGTGAGACCCTAACCCAGGAAAAACTGGATCATTTTTTTCAAGTTTCTCTTTCTTTGCTCAGAACTATTCTGCTGTACCTATTCTATGTATGAGACAATAAAGTTTCTGTTCACACTGAGAGGGCTTTTTTTCTCAGTATTTAAACTTTAGACTTTCTTTGCATTTAGAGAAATAAATTTTATATGAAGATAAACTCTATGTTTTAGAGACAAAGGAAATAAAAGTTAGTGAAAAGTGTGAGCATAGGCAAATTTTAAAATTTCTGTTGATTTCATTCCTCATCCATGAAGTGGTAATAACACCCAACTCATAGGGTTATTTTTTTTTTTGAGGATTAAATAAACATTGTGTTTGAAAGTATTTGAAGAACTAGACAGCTGTTAGTCATCATAATTACATATTCCACGTGAATAATTAAGTATAAATTATTTATCCATATACACCTGGAAAAAATAATTTCTAAGATAGTTTCCCACTTTTCCTGATGTTTAGGTGGAAAATGGTAGGCCTGTGCATCATCTATATTCACAGCCTAGACGAGCATGTGGAAGAACATTGGGTTCTACAGTCTTTTCTCCTGTACCCACTGTCCAAGCTAATGCTTATAAGAAGGAAAAAGACTCTGCTTTATTTACAGGTATACACACTTAACTTTAAGACATAAGTGTTAAGAAAATCTTTTTTTTTTTTTTTTTAAGATTGGCACCTGAGCTAACAACAGTTGTCGATCTTCTTCTTTTTTTTTTTCCTTCTCCCCAAAGTCCACAGGTACGTAGTTGTATATTCTAGTTGTGAGTGCCTCTGGTTGTGCTATGCGGGACACCACCTCAGCATGGCCTGATGAGCGGTGCCATGTCTGTGCCTGGGATCACAACCGGTGAAACCCCGGGCCGCCAAGGCGGAGCGGGTGAACTTAACCACTGGGCCATGGTGCTGGCCCCAAGAAAATCTTTAACCAAGGATCATATTACCATGTATTTCACTACTTAATAACATCTAAAGACTTCCTATCATAAAAATGGTAAAGTTCAGATTACTTAGTATGGTATATAAGATCTTTCCAGACTCTATTCATTCTATCTCTTTATCCATATTGATTCCAGACGCACTGAACAGTCCGTTCCAACTACTGTGTGATTTGATCCATTCTGTTCTCTATGCTCGTATTATACTTCCCCACCTGATAGATTCCTATTCATCTTTAATAGTTGGGACACTTTGAGCTGCAATTAAAAGAAAATCTGCCTACATGTGGCTTAAACAATAAAGATATGTATAATCTCAAATGAGAAGAAGTCCATTAGTAAGGCTGTTCCAGGGTTGGTTAACTCAGGGGTTTAATGATGCCATCAAATAGCCAGTTCCTCTATCCTTTCTCAACTTTCCTTAACTTTCTTAGCAAGTAGTTGTCCTCCTAGCCTTGCTGTACAATATGGTGACTGCTATTCAAGACAACTTGTATGGGTAACAACATCCACTGAAAAGGAGGAAAGCTCTTTGGTCCCTTGTAAGAATGAGGACAATATTCCCCAACCCCCCCACCAGCAGACCTCCCCTGTATCTCCCTGGCTAGAATTGCTTCATGCACCCCTATCTAAACCAACAAATCATTGTCGCCTTAGATTAGTTTCTAACTTTTAACATAAGTCACAGTAAGAAATACTTTTTATATCCCAGTCTAATACACACACAGACACACACAGAGCAGAAGATTCAGATTCATGGAGCCCTAATTATTTGTTTTTCTCTGCTAGTTGAACTTGATTGCAGTATTTTAGTGTTTTGTACAGTTATTACTAAGGATCCATGTGATGCACTCATTCTATTTCAATTTTTAAAATGCTAGTCAGGAGATACTAAATTGATTTATTGTCTAAGTTGATGGGTTGTGGCTCACATTTTGAAAACACAGGCTTAGAATGTTCAAGATTCACTCCCTTGAGTTAGGAAGGAGCCCAGCCTCCCTTGAACGACATGGTTGCTTGGAGGAAGATGAATAAGATAGCAAAAAAAGAGATGAAGGGACTGTTAAGTAGGCAATCCTCTGTTTCCCACACTATTCTTTAAGACTCCACTCAGATGCTGTGTCTTCTCTCAAGTGTTCCCTGAAAGCAGCGGCAGGGTGTTCTACTCTGTCGGCAAAGCAAATTTCCCTTTGTAAAATTTCTTAAGTTTCTCTACAGAAGGGGCATTATAGTTCTTTTATCAAAGTCCCATATTAAGACTTCTGGGAACGTTGGCAACATAAATATAAGTTTATCTTGGCCAAAATGAAAAGAAAAAGAAGAAAAATTCGTTAAATTGAAACTAGGACATTAATCCCAAACTCAAAAAAATCTGCTGCATATTACAATATGAAGTAGTTTGAAAGAATTTTCCAGAAGTTGATTCACAATTCCGTCTCCTGAGAGGAAGGAAGAATATTGAAAGAGCTAGTAGCAGATATGCTAAAAATACTCCCATTAATCATCACCTCCCACCACACACACACACACACACACACGCACGCACTCAAAGAAAAGGAGTTACCTATGGTGGGTCACGGAGAGATGGAAAATCCTCCCCCTTGAATTCCAAGTCAGCAGCACTCCAAGTCTGTCTTAGCAGTGTTTTGAGAAACACGTAATGACCACACTTAGTCAGTTATTTCCCTAGCTTCCTAGTGTTGCTTCAGATGTACTCAGTTAGGGGGAAAACCTCTTAAATTGGAGGAGTCAAGTCGTGCAAGGAGGGTCGACAACAGAAGAGACATGATGGAATTTCCTAGGAACCATCTTTGCAAGCGTGAATAATAGCCACCAAGATAACTGCGTGAAGAAAAACATAGGTCCCCATCAAACAGCCTAAGAGCCACGAGGCCTTTCTTTGACTAAGTTCCTCTCAAAACCGAATTGCTTAGCCCAAGAGAGAGGTAAAAAACTGGAACCCAAATGGCACCTTGCACATAAATGGACAATGTCCACCACCACCACCACAGCAGAGTCATGAAGAGGTCTCACACACATGCAGTGCTCAGAAACAGGTTTCCCCATGATTTTTCAGGGCTCCAGCTCCCCTGTCAGTCTACTCAGGCAGATACAGAAAAAATATCTGGATTTACACGTTAATTTCTCAGGGGAGAATTTAACAGTACTCAGGTAAACAAGGAGAGCATCCAAAGAAAATGTACCCCTATTATTTTTGGACTAATATCAAGCCCAGGTTTAAGTGTCCTGAGTCAAAGATGAGTAGATAGAAAAACAAAAACAAAACATGGGACGTATCAGAGATTCTGTAGCAAAAAAAGGAAATAATTTAAAAGATAGCTGACGGTCACATTTTTTGTACCCCATACAACAGGAGATAATTTAGACAATAATCATTTTTTGTGCTCAAAAAACTAAAGAAAATAAGAATTTTATGAAATAAGATTTGAAAATATAAAAAGTAATTGTCAAGGATGAAATTGTGCTATCTGAGCTAAAAACATTTTTTAGGAAAATCACATAGAATGCCATGTGAAGGCACAAAAATGTGGCTAGATTAGACAAGACAGTAGATTGAGGGGAGAAAATAGATATCCCACATTGAGTTAACCAGTGTGTTTAAAGAGGAGAACAGAACAAGTTGAATGAAGTGACTGAACGGGGAGTGGGGAAACTATCTGGAGATACTGGAAATGCTCAACATCTTGGTTTTGGTGATGATTACATTAATATATATATAGTTGTCAAAAATCATCAAACTATACATTTAAAATGTGTGTATTTAAATGTATGTAAATTATACCTCAATAAAGGTAAATTAAAAAGAAAACAAAGACTAACACTACAAAAGTCTAAAACACCAAAAATATAATAAATTAAAATAATCTGTTACATCTAAAATAATCTATAGAAAATAATTTAATATTTAATAATCTAAAATAATGAGAAAAGTGTTTGTATAAATGCAGGGAATATTAATAATATTTCATTTAAAATACAAACTAAGATTAGTTTTTAAAGTCATGAATTATGTTATAATTAAATATATAAATAATTTATCAGATTCTGTGCTCATCATTGTTTCCTGCATCCTGCCATCTGTGTTCACTTTTATTTTTCTTGAATGACATCCTTTAATAGTTCTTTCAATGATGAGTTGTTGGTTCTTAACTCTTTTTGATCCTTGTATATCTGGAAGTGCCTTTATTTTGCTGTCACTCTTGAATAACAGTTTAGTTGATATTGATTTTTAGGTTGAAAATTATTTTCTCTCAGCACTTTAAAGATACAGCCTCATTCGCTTCTGGAATCAATTATAGGTTAAAAATCTCCTCTTGGTCTAATTGTCACTCCTTTGTAGAATGACAATTAATGTCATTCCTTTACTTTCTGGTAATTTCGGGAATTTTCTCTGCATTCTTTATGATCTGCATTCACTACAATGCATGTAGGTATAGATTTATTCTTATCTCTCATCCTCAATTTGTGAAATACACTTCCGTTAGTTAGAATTATTGGCCATTCTCTCTTCAAATACAGATTCTCCACCATTTCCTACATTTTCCTCTTCCAGAACTATTAGACAAAGTGTTTAAGTCTTTCAATCTATCTTTCATGTCTTCTAATGGTTCTTTCATATTTTTCATTTATCTGTCTGCGCATTCTTAGTGAATTCCTTGGTGTTTTCTTCCAGTTCATTAATTCTCTGTTTGGTTCTGTAATCCAGAGTTATATTATTTATTTCCAAGATTTCCAAGTGTTTTTATATTGACTTGTGCTGTTTTTTTGTGTTTTTTTTTTTCACTTCAGCCTGTTTTTATCTCACCATATCTTGTTTTTTTATGTGAATAGTTTTTCATTTGTGTCTTTGAAGTTCCTAAACATACCATTATTTTATTAACTCTAAGATGTCACCAATGATACTGTCAATTAAACTATGACAGAATGCTAACATACACCATAGAATTGAGATATGGTAAGAATTTTAAAGTTGTTTTTAGGTTTTTCTATTTAATTTTATTGCCAAATTTATCTTCTATTTGTTGACTTTGCTGATTGTCTTTCCTAGGTTTATATTTTTCAGTGTTTTAGAATTTTAGAAGGTTCTCTCTTCACTCAACACTTACCCACTTCACCTTACTCCTTCCTTTCTAGAAGTTTTACCACCCGTTGCTGCCACTCAGACCTCATGGCCCTCAGGCCAAACTAGATTTGAGAGTTGTGAATGGGGCTCCCCCTCTGGGAGATACTGGGGATATGGCAGATCCAGTCATCGTGCCTCGGTGTGGTTTGACTTAGTTCCTGGTCCCCAGTTGGCAGTGGAAAGGATTGATTTCTAGTCTCTTTTCGCAAGCCAGGGAACCTCCACCCAGCCCCTTATTTCAGGCAGTGCATCTGTCTTCCTCCCGTTTGCCTTTCCCATTTCTGTAAATGGCATCTACCCAATTGCTGAGGCCAAAAATCTAGAAATCATCCTTGATTTCTTTTTTCCCCTGATATTCCATATCCAATCCACCAGTCAATATAGTTCAATCTACCTCCAAAATATAAGCTGAAGCCCACCACCCCCTCTGCTACAATCCTTGTCTAATCCACCAACATGTCTTATCTAGACCACAGCAGCAGTCTTAACTGTTACTCCATTGCCACTCTTGCCATCCACATTCCCCCTGACTTCCACGGATTGTTCATCTCTGAGCAGGCAGAGTGACCTTTCCAAAGAAAAAATCAAACCACTTTATTATTCCATGTAAAACTCTCCAAATGATCTCTATTATAACCAGAATAATATCTTAACTCTTCAGTATGGCTTGTGTGGTCTTATATGATTTGCTACCTATCTCATCTTACCCTACTCTCCCCCTCCTGCACTCCAGCAATGCTGGCCTTTCGCTGCCTTCAGCATTCCAAGCTGATTGCACAATGAGACCTTTACCCTAGCTCCCTCTGCCTAGTAGTCTGTTCCTCCAGCTCTTCACCTGGCTGCCTCGTTCTCTTTCTCAGATTTCAACTCAAATATCCCCCCCCGAGAGAGACCGCCTGTGGCCACCCTAGGTGAAGTACCATGTTCATATTTTTCCATAATACTTACAAGTAGTTGAAATTATTTTATCTACCTGTATGTTGGTTGGTTTGCTTGTTTATTGGCTATTTATTCCTTTTAGAATGGAGCTTCCCAACCAATATACTGTGGTCACCTGTTGTGCTCGAAGGTGTTAAAGATGTGCTGAAATATTGATCTTCAGCCTTCAAGACTGCTGGGTTGGCCCTGGGGTAGCCTGGCTACAAGTGCACTCAAGTGCTTATCCCAGTGTACCGTGCAAAAAACATGAATTAAAATGTTTGCCATGACATGGAAAGGTTGGGAAGCTCTCCACTAGAATAGAAACTACTTGAGGACAAGGAGAAAGCTGGATTTATTGCTAGTAGCACGTGTGTCTGGGAACACTCTTAAGAAAGTAGAGAAATACCGGAATGGCCACCAGGCATGTTTGGAAGAGTTCAACCTCTGACACTTTCTGAAAGCCAGGTGGCAAAATCTGTTTGACACCTGCTAACTCACTTCCCTCCATGCCACCAGCGTTTAACTATCTGAGGCTTCCTGCTGGCCAGTGATGGCTTTACATATTTGAGAGACATGAAAATTTGGGAATGCCTTTCTTCCGCAAAAGTCTCCAAGACCAGTTTTCTGTTTGCTCTGTCTTAGCCAACCATTAGATTCTTGATCTTCTCCAGTTCTATCTTGTTCACTTGAGAAGTTTTACTGAGTAGCTATGACAGATCAGGCACAATACCAGGTGGTTTCCATATGTTATTTTACATTGTAAAATATTTTATATAGGGTATTTTCTAAATGCCATAATATTAATATGTCTTTGATGAAAATCTTTTATAATTTCAGCTCAAACTGACAAAAAACCTGGGGAATCATTTGATTTGGTTGGTCACTTAGAAGATTATTTAAATAAAAGGTAATTTATTTTAAAATTTTTAATGTTTTATTCTGTTCAATGATGTTTGTAATAGGAAGAGTTCTGCTTTTATTTTCTAGTGGACAAGAAAGAATTTCTTCTGACTTCCTATTACCGTTTAGGCCATGCTGTAAGCCAATGACTGGTCCAAGATTGCTCAGCTAGTCAGCATCACATTCAGACCTTAAGCACAGGTTCTCTCTGCTGCAAGTTTACAGTCAAATGGAGAGAAAAACATGGAAAATTAAAGGGAGAGAATACAATTGTGTTTTTGTAGTAGAGACAAAAATTTAATTTCACTGCAACATGGATGTACTCTTTCTCACGAGATCCTAAAACTCTGTGTGATGAAAAGAATCATATTAGTCCAGTGTGTTTTAAACTTTGGAGCAATAAGGTATAGCCTCTTTACGTTGAGCTGTGTCTTTCTGTTTCTTTCTAAGATGGTATCTGAGTATATGAATGAGCGGCTCACTGGACTTAGTCACACTAAGAGGGAGTTGACCAAGAATGTTGGTCACTGCCCTTGTACTCCTGGTCTCATTCCTACATGTTCTGTGGCTGCTGACATCTGTAGCTCATGAACTTCTGGTCTATTCTCTCTGAACTTAGATAGGGGCTACTCTCAACTCTCATTAGTATGGTGGAACTCTCTGAGGCTCTGTCATGTCCTTAACCTGTCCTTTACCCACGCCAAGGCTTTGCTATGGCAAAGGCCTCTGCAATGGCAAGCTCCTTGACAAGCCTAAAGTCAGTATCCATGTCACATGTGACCCAAGGGAGGTCTGGAATGAAACTGTGTCCTCTGTCTGCCTAACCACACCATTCCATCCTGTTAACAAAGCCGGGGCCAGCCTACGTTGGCATGAAGCTGCCCTGTGAAGCACTTGTCTCCCAGAATCTCAGTGAAGGATGTGGCAAATTTCTCTCTACTTTTGCTGTTTCTCCTCTTTCTACATAACACCCCTCCTCCCTACTCAAAAACCAAAGAGGCACACATCTTACTGTCTTGCTTCCACCTCTGATTTTGCTATTTCCCCTACAAACCAGGCAGGAAGGGATGGTCTTGTCAGGTTGAAAATCTGTGGCAGAGGGTTTGGCGGAGGTGTTGGCAGTGCCTTTGAGGACTGGGGGAGACAGACAAGAACTGACAAGCTGAGATCAGCCCTGTGAACATTTACGCTGAACTTGTGTTCATTTTCAGAAGAAAATCTCCTCCGCAGACGAACGATTCTAGTACAAAAGAAAATAAATCCACCACAAATTACCAATTAAGTGAGTATTGTTTAGTTAGAAAGAAAAGCTTGCTCCCCTTGTGCTTCGAGGATGAATTGAAAAAGCCAAATGCCAAGATAATCAACATTAGTCCAGCAAAGACAGTAACTTCTCACATGGTAATAAGAATATCCACTACTCTTGAGCAAACATATGTATTATTACTACTTGTGGGAATCTTAGATTCTAGTGACCAGAAGCTTTGATAAATCCTTCTGACCTCTTGGTTTCACATTCTGAAGTGACGACAACACCAATTCTTAATGCTCTTTTTAGAATCACCACTCCAAAAATGGGGTGTCCTTTGCACCAGCTGAAAATTTTGTTTTTCTTTATGAAGAAGGCTTTTTCAAATTTTCTTGATTATAAAATAAATATAAAATTCAAATGATGTTTTAAAAAATGACTGCCCCCTATTTCACTTTTCTATCAATCTATTTTGGGTATTTCAACAGAAAATACATTCATAGACCATCTGGTAGCTCCCAGAGTCTCTAGGAAGGCTGCAGAGACAACCTGGCTTGTAAGCTTAGCCAGTCAGGAGTTACACCATTACAGCCCCAGACCGCTCCCTTGGGGCTGCGGCTTTTGTAGCAGATAACAGTTTACTATTCTGATGCTGGGCTGGGGACATATTTCTAAGACCTTTGTCACTGCTGCCCTTCAAAGCTAGATATATCTACCACCATCCTCACTAGAATAGTTTTCACAATGCCCACTTGGTCACAGTGCTTGCTTTTTCTGAGCTGAAGACTCTCACAGGTGCATCTCATTGGCAGAGCCCAGGTCACACGCCTGTGCCCTAACCTCAAGGGCAACTGATACCTCTGCCTAAGGGGACATAGACTGATAAGGTGGGAAATGCCCAAAGGTGGTGGACAGACCAACAACATGACAAACCTCCAGTACTCTGCCTAAATGGATAACATTGGCATCACCACTAGATTGCAAGGCTAGATCTTTTGTCTTTTCAGCAATCAGAGGCATTAATGTAACTTTCACACTAAGTACACTAATAGACAATTCGATGATCCTTGTTTCTTATTTTATTAATTATATTTCTAAAGGAAAAGTAGCAATCATTGACTTAAAGTTTGCAAACTAAATACTGGCAATATGCATATTTGACTGGTTCCGTTGGAATTAATCATTTTACCTTATAATGGAAACATGGGAAAGAGTTTAGTGAGTAGCTCATACATACAGATTTTCTACTACTGTGATAAAAATAGTCTATTTTTAACTCAGTCCATTACTTTGGCTATTTTATTCCACAGCTATGTATTGAGCACCTTTTATGTACTAAGTGTTGGGGTACAATAATAATCATTGTAAAGATAATTTTATATTTTCTGAATTATTTATTAGGATATCCAGACTTTTAATTTTTGTTTGTAATCAGTTATGGTCTTTGACTCAATCCATTTTTTGGTATGCTTCTTGTTTCCGGGCATGGAAATCTAAGAAATGTCAGAACAGTGTTCCATTCTACCAACTCTCCTATTTCCCAATGACAACACTCAAACATTTAAGAAATATATTTATTTCTTTATATCCACTTTATTTCAAAAAGGGTTTTAGGAGGCCAAAAGTTTAGATTTTGCCTCTAACATCTCAACAGAGTATTAAGAAGAGAAGGAAGTATGTCACATAAGAGTATATCTTTTTTGTGTGTTCAAATATCATTATTGTTAATGGTATTAAAAACTTCTATGTAGTCATTTTTAGAATCTTTTACCATTTTATTTTCATGTTTAAAAATACATGTAGCCTTCTTGCCTCAATAGACTGATAACTAAGTACTCTTTTCTCTAATCCATAGGAACAAAAGGACACAAACCCCATAATTTTTCATGAGACTGGATATGTACAAATGTTACTTTTGACCAAAAATAGGCTTCCTTACCATCCTATGGAAAACAGAAACATTTACCCATATAAAAGAACAAATTTGGTTTTAGAAAGAAATCGTGAAATTCTCAAATCTTTAATTAGTTATCAATCTGTTACTCCTTCTAAACCTAAAGGAGCTCTTTCGACAGAAAGGAGGGAAGGTACACAAGCTGTGCCTTTTGATGTGCACCATAGAGCTGCCGAGGATAACTCAAGGAAGGAAGCTAGTAAGCAGACATTTGACAACATATCCTGGAATAAACTCTGTAATTTCTCACAGACTTTTTCCAACCTAACAAAAAAGTTTGTGGGTTTCCTTGAAAAAACTCTTACTCAAGAAATGAGTGCTAAAACTAGCAAATTTGGAAGAATGCTTTCTACAGTAAAACCAGTGAGCAAATTTAGTGCCTTACCTGTCAAATATTGCTCAAAGCCTTTAAAAAATAAACTCAAAGTCCATAAGTTAAGTAATGTAACGCCACTGGACGATTTGTTAAACTTGCCAAATGAAAATTAAACAGCTCACAAAATATTGTGTATACAGCGATATTTGGGTAGCAAGAAGCAAATCATGAGTTCCAAGATCATGGAAGAAATTCTTATCTAAATAGTAACGTTCTAATGGATGGTGTAAGAAAGCAAAGCATAGAAATTGGAGTTACAAATCAACAGTGGTCTGTTCAAGAAAAGCCAACATTTTTAGTAAATACAAGGACAAAATCAGGAAATAATTATCAACAGGAGGAACTTGTTCATGAACTTTTGTTATCTCAATTAGATTCCTCAGCCATCAGCATTCCTACAGTAGAGTCTGTTGGGGACCAAGAATGGCGCAGACTGATTTACTACTGGACACCAAATAACAGCACTACCTTGCTCTGTAATTGAATATCAAATCTGATAAATGTACCTTTGACTTGCTGCATGTGGAATTAATTGTATATCTGTATTTTAGATAATAATTAGAAAATAGTATTACATTAGCAACTCATGCAATTAAAAAGTCTTTGTAAAATTTCAAATAGCTGTTTGTTAGTAGACGTTGGAACTTCATTGCTATATAATGCCTTTTCCAAGCATAACTTTGACTTTTTTCTGAATTGTTAAATAATTTAAAAGAATAACTCATCTTTCATAAGCTAAATAACTTTGGCAGCAAATCCTATAAAGTATTGACCATTTTAAGTATATTATCACATAGCTATTTTACTGTTTCTCATCAACTTCTCATTAATCCCAACAGCATAAAGACAGAACTCAGAAACAAGTTGCATTTCAAAAGTTCATTTGTAATCCATTTGTTTAAGGACTTTTAAAAATCTTAATTGTTAGTGCTTGAAAAGCATGGGTTTAATTAGAAGCCTTTCAGTTAAGGGAAGGCTTTGGGGTGTTTTGGAAACTTTCAAAGGTGAGGACGTAACCTTGCTCCGTTTCATCTGTTTCCACTCCGGACTCCTCCTCCGTCTCCTTCTTCCTTTTCTTCTCCTCCTCCTCCTTCGTGAAAAGATCCCAAGGTTTTCATCCTAGGAAAATAGAAAAAGTATAAAATAAACCAAAAGAATTTATGAATAGGAAATCAGAGATACTTAAGTAGAAATAAAAGTATAGCTTAAAAGGATAACAAAAGTTATTGTTTGGTGTGTTTGTTTTTAAAATATATAAACCTTTCTCAAGCCTGATTTAAGAGAAAGGAGGGATTACAACTGAGAAAAATAACCATAGAAATATGAGAGAATAAAAGAATCATAATCACTATTACATGTAAATTTATGCCAACAAATTTGAAAATCTAGAAAAAAGTGGGTGATTTACTATCACAAAGGAAATGATGGGGGGCCAGTCCCATGGCATAGTGGTTAAGTTCAGTGCATTCCGCTTTGGTGGCCTGGATTCAAGGGTTTGGAGCCTGGGTGTGGACCTACACCACTTGTCATCCATGCTGTGGTAGTGACCCACATATAAAGTGGAGGAAGATTGGCACACATTTTAGCTCAGAGCTAATCTTCCTCAAGCGAAAAAAGAGGAAGATTGGCAACAGATGTTAGCTCAGGGCTAATCTTCCTCAGCCAAAAAAAAAAAAAAAAAAAAGCAAGTGATCAAAATTGACCCTTGGGAATGGATATATTTTGAATAGACCAATTTCCTAGAACACAGTGGCATGCACCAGCACTATATGAGTACATAAATAGTTTTTCTCACTTTATTATTGAAGCCAGTGTGGTAAACAGAATTCCAAAGATGTCTCCCCAAGATTCTCACCCCTTGTTATTCAATCAAACACTAATCTGAATATTGTTGCGAAAAGACTTTGCTGATGACTTTAAGGTTACTAACCATCTGACCTTAAAACATGGAAATTATTCTGAATTATTAGTGGGCCCAATGTAATCACAGGATCCCTTAAAAGCAGAAGAATGCAGAAATCAAAGAGATGCGGCAGAAGAGAAGGTAAGAAAGATGGGGTAGAAGTGGAAGCTGGAGACCTTAATTCATAAGGGCAAAGTTTTTGAGCACTTGTTTACAATACCCCCAGTTTGTTCACGGTTGCTCATTTCGTCCCTATTTGCCGTGCTTCTGCAGAGCTAGAGTGTCTTTTCCTATCCCATTGGCTTGGGCTTGGTCAGGTGACTGACTTTAACCAATAGGAGGTAAGCAGCCATGACTGGCGTGTTTCGCTTGGTTTCACTTGCTCCTGTCCCCCACCGTGAGAACAGCAGGTCTCAGGCAGTGGCCACTCCTTGAACCTGGGTGCCAGTATGAGAAGATGTTGGGAACCAAGGCCAGCTGAATCCTGCAAAGCCCAGAAGAGCCTCAGCCAACACACAGCCCTCGTGTAACACAATCAAGTCATGATTTTTTTGATGTTGTAAGTCATTAAGACAATCGAATTGTTTCCACAAGGTCAGACTAGTTCAGTCTCCTTGGGACTTTGATCCTGGAATTTAACGTCTCACGAGGAATTTTATAGATGGAGAAGGTTTATATTCAAAACTAGGCATCTCTATGTTGTTAGCATTTTATTATTAGAGTATGTTAATCTCATAACAGTACCTCTGATGAATTATACTGGGCAATGGGCTGGCTATAATTTGAGATGGGAAATAAAATAAGAAATGAAATTTTTATCTTGACACATCATGCTTCTGGAGTTAATTTAATTAATATAATGATTAATGTATATTTTAGAGCCTTCTGGATGCAGAATTAAACTATTGACCAACACTCCTAGGATAGTCCAAAAAGGCACATGGGGGAGCCACCTCATAAGGTAGGAGCAGAACCTCCCTAAAAGCTGCTAAGCTCTCTCCAGAGAGTGCTAGACACACCCTTGACTGACCAGAAACTTAGTGGCTAACTTCAAAAGGTAAGGGAAAGTTAGGCAGGGACACTTCTTTCCCTGCTCCTCTTGTTTCCCTATGGAGAGAGGGACTTCTCTATGGTAACACTCATGGTCTCTGGCACCACTCGTTGCTCACTTTTCCCCACTAGGAGGAGTGAGAAGCCGCATTAGCGGTGGTAGCAATTAGCCCAAGTTTCTTGACTGGGTAGGACTAATATATTAAAAGACCATAAGCACTAAGGAATTGATTATCCTCTTCTCTTTCTGCCTCAGATCAGAGGGAGCAGCAGTAGATGCAGTAAACGTGTGCATTCTGCAGACTCAAACGTTCCGTTGGGTGGGCAGTCCCATTCTTGGAGACAGGGAGGCAGAACACAGTCCCAAACAAGTCTGTTTAGCTCTCAAATCTAAGCCATGCTCTCCAAACAGCTCGAACTGTGTTAGGATGGAGATCAGCCTACCCTCTGCGTCTATCTCTCAGTTGCTTCCAAATTTGGGTGGGCAAGATGGGCATTATTTCTTAGCCCCCTCCTACACCAACATATTTTTTCCACTGTACTCTCCCAAAATGCCTGTTGTCAAAGATACTGGTTCCATCATACGACTGAGTGTGGATGTGATGGGGTGGGATGGAGAGAACCACCAGCGCAATTCAGACTGCTTACAGGTCATCAGTTTTTTCCTGGAACTCAGAGTCTAATGCCCTGGACCTGTCTCACCTATTTCTATACCTACCTCAGCTCCTAAAACACCAGACTGGGCTGAACCTAGTGTCCTACTTGTTCCAGCATGGTGACTGGAAGTTTAACATAGGTTACCTACCCACAGGGAATGCCTTTTTTGAGAAGATACATCATTAAATCTGAGATGACCCTTCACCGTCTTGACCATACTGTAAGCAGCACATCTGGAAACTGTTCTTCCTGTTACACATGGCATTAGAGTCTTTGCATACCCCATTTAAATCTCTACCCGAGTGCCACAAGATGTGTATACTCTGACCAGGAGCCCACACCCAGGTACTACCATTTTAAAAGAGCAGACCTAAAGTTCCACTAATTTTGACACATTTGTTCCAGCAAAATCTCTCCCTTAACTCTACTATTCTCTGTTACTAACCTAGATGTCCCTTCCTGGTACCACCAACAAATTTACCTTGACCACATCTTTGGTAGCAAAGTAATAAATTTCTCCTTTTTTCACTTCCTCTTCTTTTTTCCTACCCCCATCCCCATCACTCCTAAACACACACACACACACACACTAGCAGGGTAGATTTTTGTGGGACTATGCAGCCTCCGAGCTTAGAAAATCATAGTCATATAATTTTGCCTTTCCTCAGAGCTGAGAGCACCGTCACGGTTTCAGTATGTGCTGACCATCCAGCCTTGGCTTGAATACCTCAGGTGGGAGTGACGTCACTATCCTCAAAACAGCCCATGCCATTTTCAGGTCTTGCTGATTCTGCACCCACCAGGGACCTGACAGGAAGGAGATGGTCAAAATCACCCACAATCAAAGTGGATAGTTTGAGAATTTAATAAGGGGCTACTTGCCAAGGCATCAGCTCAGTGTAAGGAAACTGCAAAGGATAATGTAATGCTCTAGAGCTGGTAAGCACCCTGGCCTGCGGGGCTGAACGGACGGTGGGGTTAGAGGAATGGTGGCAGAGAGGAGCATGTGGCAGCAACATGAGGTAACACCCAGGGAGGAACCCGCAGGGGTGATAATAGATACCAGAACCTCATTCTTCTCCTGCCCTCTTGTGCCTTTAGTGCCTCCCGTGGGCTACAATCAACCAAAAGTCTGGGTTTAAGACAGGGTTGGGACTGGAGTGAAGCAAGAGAGGCAATGAGGGCCCAACAGGGGAGGAGGCACTTTCTGTCAGGGCCCCCGAGTGGGTGCCTCCTGCAGTGTCCTGCCCCGGGCTCCTCTCTCTCCTCGCTCTGGTCCCAACCCCAGTTTAGGAGAGCCCATTGATGTACTCCACAGAAAGCCCCCTCCCGGGGCACGGAGCTGAGGATCCTCTGGGAGATAGTCAGTATGCACTGTGAGGAAGTTCTTCACAGGAGATTCAAGTTCTGGGGCTTCCACTGAACCCACTTGACCCACTGCACTTGATCCAGGAGCATTACTTGACCAAGTGAGATTTCTTCTAAGTATAATTTTCAAAAAGTTAAAATGCATGACTCTCATAAAAATGTAAAATGAATGCATGTCAAAGATTGTATTCAACCCATTAATTAATGAGTAAAGAGTAAGATGTTAAAACCAGTTCAAAAGAAAACCTACAGACAGATTTATATAGTCAAGTCAGCCAAAAGAATGTTAAAGTGAATATGCTAATGAATGCAAAGCTGGTTAATATCCTATAGGGCAATAAATTTAAAACTTTAGGGCTATCTTTTCTCCCAGAGGGAACTCAATTATATCTCTACAAATTTGTTTGCATCGCTACAGACAAGAGTCACTTGCATTACAATGGTTTTCGACAAATTAACTTCTTCTAAATAGAAAGCCAATCAAAGGTGCACACCCCCATAGAATTAATTAATCCACCAAAGATCCATTCGGCAATTCCTATCATTCTACTGGAAGGACATCCAGTTATATTTCTTATTTCTACTATTGGATAATTTTTTAAAACATTTCTCCTCTGCCTGGAAGCCATTCAGATACTTAAAGTCATCAGAGACATCTCCTTTTTCTCCAGGAGTCAGGTCCCCAGGATTAGACACAGGTGTGCTGCGAGCAGGACAGTGTTGTATTTCAATTCCAAGGGGAGAATCAAAACCAGTCATTGTTAAAGCCTAGGGGATAGTATTAAATGTAAATCCTATTTACCGCCTATTTCACTCTAAAGAAAACCTTCATTATATACATTCTTTTCCCACAAAAGAGGTAGGACACAGCATTTATAGCTGTAGCAGTGGGATGACAAGAAAGAGACAAAGAACTAGTCAGACAGGTAGTCACAATGTAGATTCCAAAGTGGCATTTAGTTTGTCAACATGCCTAATTCATTTTAGTCAATAGTTAATTTGATCCAAACACTACATTTCTGTGTGAACCAGAATCAAAATATGGGTTCTCCATTTCAGATATGAACTACACATGTTTAGGGCAATAATTGGTAAATTGATGCCTCTAAAAACAATTCTATTCCATTCTTTTGTCTTATTTTTTTTTCCTCCCAGCATCCTTACTATCTTGCTCTTTTCCTCTTTTCTTTCATTGATTTGCTTAGGACCTCGGAGGTAAAAAGGATCTTGAAAATCTTCTAGAT